TAAGTCCCTGCAACGTCATTGAAGTGAAATCACCAATAGGTACAGCTATCATCATCTGTATATACATAGGAATAATAACTTTCAATCCTTCCAACTACCAGTTTATTATACAGAAAGTCCAGAATTCGATGGCCAATTACACGTTTCTAGAGAACCGAACATAAGATTATTCTGAAGATTCAACCTAGGGGGAACAGATCTGCTCAACCAACCTTAAAATATTGCCAGCCCTGCGGCGTTGCCGCATCTATCAAAAAGTGGCATCAATTTTGTAATTTCGAATAAACCTCCCAAACTCTATGTCCAAATACACGTTTCTAGAGGAAGGAACAGGAGATTATTCTGAAGATTCAACCTAAGGTTGATAGTTCTACTCAATCAATCTCAGAATACTTTCTGCCTTGTAGCGTTGCCGCATCTATCAGAAAGTGGCAACAAATTTGTTATTCAGAATATAACAGCCTATTCATGTATATAATTCCGTTCTCAGATTCTTCCTGAAGAACTGATTCCATCGGTGTATGACTCACATTTTGGGTCTATCAAAAATAACAGTTATATAGGATGCAGAAAATCGAGATGTTTCAACTTACCTACTCAGAATTTTTTTTCGATGAAACTATTTGTTATTGGTTTAACCGGTTTTCATGACTCAATATCTCAACTTTTCGTCTTCTATCAATTGATATTCAACTGACACAGATACAATGTGATCAGAATTCGATCATAAACCAATCTGTATTTCTTTCAATTGAAAAACAGTAGATAGTAAATCAAAATTTGAGATAGGGGCATGGAAGCCATTTTCACCAATGACGAATAGTTTGACTTTCGACAGATGGAATCACTATGACTCTTGAATATCTCATTCTTTCACACCCTATGAATTTCTTTTATGATTTTCGCTAGACCTCATCAATGTGTTATGAATCGATGAAATCATCCTTCTAGGGCAACTCCATGAATTCGATAAAATTCAAGGTGTGTCATCCGGGATAACAGAGTAATTGCTAATTTGCGATAAAAGCAGCAACGCCACAGCACTGAAAATATTCAGGTCTCCGAAAAAGAATTGATCACTCAGAAACCTAGATTTTGAGAATAATCCTATGTCCAGTTCTCCAGAAACGTTTGATAAGCCATCGAGTTTGAAAACACCCTGTATAAAAATTTTACACACATATACTGAAGTATAGAAGAATATGACGTTGACAGGACGTTCTTGAACGTCATTAAATTGACGTCATATCCAACCCATCCAAGACATTCGCTCAACGTTGTGAAAATTAGGTGATTGTCACGTTATAAAAAGTACGTTGTTGCGACGTAAGAAATTGATATGTGATGTCTCAGATGAAATTGGGTAAGACACAATTACGTGACCATTCGTCATCTAGTTGCCTATGGGTGATGAGGGCTGAAGGCACGAGGGACGAGGCTGCAGTTGGCTCTTTCTGAGGGCTTTGTCTAAAAGCCTCTTCCTTGTTCTATTGGAAGAGTTCCCCTTATATCCATCCCATCATGATTTTACTCCTAGACTTGGATGTCGCGCAGGTTGCTACGGCTGCTAGCTGATTCCGTCGAGACATTGATGTGGCCCAAAATGCAGGATCTGCTGACCCAAACCACAATTGTGCGACTGGCTTCTGTTTGTTGAATCCGTCGATAAGTTGATTCGTGCTGCCTATCTTCCGCAGTTTTGTCATTGCCCTGATGGGGGCGAAAGGCACGAGGTACGTGTCTGCGGTTGGCTCTTTTTGAAGGCTCTTTTCGATAGTATTTCCTTACTTTTTTAATATACATCGTGAAAACACTACAACTCCCTAATGCATTTCAACACCCTGAAATCCCTGAAAGAATTCAACTCCAAGGGTATGTGGACATAAATATCCTCAACATCACTGAAAATTGTTTCAACCACTATTTCGAAAGAGAACAATATCACCCTATACTAAGAGTTCAGGTGCTGTCTTGCTACACAGCCAACATGTCATATCACATCAGGAATGAGGAGACGACTGATAGTTTTTCAATTATCAACTGAGAGATAGTTATATAAAAGAAGAGGTTAAATCCAATTTCATCTATTTGACTGTTGAAAGATATCTTTCAAGTATTAGATTCTCATATCTGGAATTCCATGTTTCAACTTCAAGAAAGAGAAGGCCAACTGTGAATAAAGTCAAGACAAACCATGGTTCAGTTGCAAAATCAAAGGATGAATTCATGAAAAACAGATATGATTAACTAAGATGTGTATAATCTTTGGAAAAAGTCCATATTGCGGAAGGTAAAGTGACATTTTTCTAAGAAGGAAAGTAATGCTTGAAGCTATACCCAGCATTCCTTCTCTTCTTTGTAAGATGTGTTCATAAACAGCTAGTTAGTTGAACCGGAACAAAAGACAATAATAACCACGAATTTTGAATGCGATCATTATTATTGAGGAGAGCTAGGGAATTCTCAAGAGGAATAAAAAAATTACAGAATCAAAAAAGAAAACAACCCACAATTCATCATGATAAAATCACTGATAAGGAAATGATAGTCAAGAACTTCAACGATTCCATTATGAATATCGCGAAAGTCGAGCCAAAGAAGGATGTGAAATCAGCCTCATTTTTGGTCGTTAATATATTTATGTACAAGACAACCTCAATCAATCAGAATAACTGTTAGTGACCTCATATGTTGTAGGAATATAGGACCAAGTTATATTGTCAGAAGATAAAAATGAAGCCATTCATTACAAAATCTATTCAGATTTATTACAAACGGCGCAGTCGGACCGAACTCTCGTGAGAATCAACTACCATGACGATTCAGAAGAATCTATACTAATACAAAGGAAGCTGAAAATATTCACCAGCAGTCATCCACTATGAATCACGGAATCAACAATCCAGACAATTCAATAAAGATCAATAAAGACGAACTGGATAAAATGATGTTTAAGTGGTTAAATTTGGCTACATGCAATGAAAAAAGTAACAGAATCACACCATTCAACGGTATGAATGAAGATCCCAATACATGGGTGGAATCATTTGGATTTATGGCTCTTTTAAATGGATGGAAAGGAGATGATGATAAGATTTTCAACCTAAGATTCTTTTTGGGAAATATAACATTAAGATAGTATGAAGACAGAATGAAGAATCCTCCACATGATTTCCACTGGGAGAATTGGGAAGAATCACCCATACAAACTTCTGATGAGGAAAACATTCTCGAATGGGAGAAAGCAATGAATTTCAAATTCAAGAATGGATTGCTCATAGAATACTTTCATGACAAACACAGATTGCTCTACTGTGCGGACAGTGAATTGGTAGAGAAAACGGTAGTAGCACTCACCATATTAGGATTGCCATTCTTCATTCAGAACCAGATTCATAGCAAGACACCAACTGTTGAAACAGAGCTTATTTAGAATTCTAAATACATCAAGGTTCTGAATGGAGAAGAAAATACTCATTATGGGATAAAAGGTATCGATAGACCTAGACAGCAGTTGACTATACAGAGAAGGAATAACGAGAAAACATCACTGCATAATCAAGAAGAAAGAAGATTTTCTAATAATCATGTTGAAAGCAATTATTGTAATGAAATAGCTGGAGAAGAAATGGACGATGAAATGTATCACAGCTTTACTGCTCATTCGGGAGTAGAACATGAAGACGAAAATATCAGAGATGGTACTATACACGAGATAAATATCAAAGCACTTTTCGATACTGTATCAGACTTGGACATTATCAATGAAAAGTTCACTGAAGATCATGCTCGTCCTTGTTGATATTCTATAGTTTTTCTATGTTATAGTAGAGATGAAATTGAAATGACTGTCAACTGACATGGACTTGACGATCTGTAAATTTTTTTTCATGATACGTATCAACATGGCTTTTATATCTAGATTATCATGAGCTAATATAACCAAATATAATAAATAGTCCAACAACCCCTTCTATTTGGTTATTCCTTGTAACCGAATACACCTCACGAATTCAACAGGAGTCAACGGCTCAATAAGTGAGTCAGTTACCATTTTTCTTGTTGATATGTATGATGGTTTGATAAGCTTCGCAACTATCTTCTTACGTAGAAAGTGATGGCGCACATCGATGTGTTCAGTTCTCGATTGGTAGGAACCATTTTGAGCGAGATTGGGTGCGCCCTGGTTCTCCACGAATATTCTGACTGGAGTCTTCTCCTGCTCAGAGCAGGAAATTATCTTCTCTGGCAAACTCTTCAGCCAGAGCGCGTCGTGTGAAGCAGCAGACAACGCCATATATTCTGCCTCACTGGTGGATAACGCTGTTGTCGGTTGCTTATTTGTTCTCCAAGAGACTGATGCCTTGCACATCAGGAACACATATCCGGTGACAGATTCCTTCTCATCAAAGTCACTTGCGAAATCAGAGTTACAATACCTACTGATCTTACAGGATTTGTTACCATCTCACTCCAGCTTCCAAACTATTGTCCCTTTCAGGTATCGGATGATGCGCTCCACTGCAGACCGATGTGCAGCTCTTTAGTTATGATTTAATCGAGTGACGGAGCTGACGGCGATTGCTATGTCTGGTCTGGACACCTGCGATGCGAACAACAGACTGCCTACTGCTCCTTGATGAGCAATATTTTTCATTTTCTTTTCATTATTTATAGAGGTCGGCTGCTATTCTTCAGAATGCTTCACATTCGAATCAGAGGGAGTTGAGACAGGGTTAGATTTCTTTATATGGAATCGAATTGGAAAGTTATCAATACACGCTTCCTGATCGTCAAGTTATTAATATAATTCTGTTCTTAACTAAGCTTTATTGAACCTTCACAACGAATCAATCAGGGCAGTGAAAAGATATTAACGTATTTTTCACATTTTGGTGCCGAAACCAGGAAAGGTTTGAATAACTAACGAACGTGCAGAAGAATGAACTTGGCTCTCAGAAATACATACCGGACCCAATTATCAAACGGCAAACGAATAAATGAACGCAAGTACCATAGATCAGAAAGAACTGAACATTTTGATTTCAAGAGTGAAAGCGTCAAAGGAAAATTTGTATATTTTGAACGGAAGATTATTACCTACTTTTGAGGATGACCAGATCGAAGAAGAATGCGAGGAGATTGTCGAGTTTGATGATGCTGCCGTTACAATTATTGCAAAAATGGAGCAGATAGTTAGTCAGAAATCCCAAGTGAATACCGGATGTCCATCCCTAGAATCGCAACTGAATGGAGGAGGTGAAGTATTGACATCCACAAGAAATGTTCACCAAGCTAAATCGGTGAGATTACCTAAACTAGATTTATTGAAGTTCAACGGGAATATAACTTTGTGGCCTGCTTTTTGGAAACAATATCGAACAGTAATTCATGAAAACGTCGACTAAGATGAGAACGCTGTATTCAATTATTTGAAATCACTGTTATCTGGAAAGGCAGCTGTTACAATCAGTGGGTTATCATCTAGTATGTCTTGTTATGCAGATGCAATCGAAATGTTGAAAAATGAATATGGTGATAATGAAAGAATCATAGACAACTATGTTCAGCAGATAATGTATTCACCTCCTATCAAGTATAAGAATGATGCAGCAGCGTTAAGGAAATTGTACAATTTAACGTCAACAATTACTCGTTCATTCGTTTAATTGGGTATTTCGGCCAATCAATATGGTTTGATGGTGAAGTCTGTGATAATGAAAAATTTGCCATATACTTTGCGAGTTGAATTCAACAAATGAAGAATTCAAGAAGGCATATCTACTAATAATCCATGTTATGATTATGATAAACAAATAAAAACTTTGCTCAATTTCATAAAAGTTGAAGTTGAGGCAGTAGAGCAGGCGCAGAGTTCATCAGGATCAGAAGTAGTTGAAGAAAAACGATTTCACGAAAATAAACAGTTTTACACTAATCCTGAACGAGATGTATCTACAGCAGCAGGACTCATAACGAATGTCAAAGATTGTTGCTTGTTTTGTTAATCTTAAACCTCAAAAATATGTCCATGGATGAAACTTTTTTACATCAATGATTTTTTCTGAGGGTCTATGATAATCTGTATATCTCACAATATTTTGTCGGGCAAGAATTAACCCCACAGGCCCCCTTTTTCGAAATTTCTAAAAAAATTCATAACTTTTTCAAAATACACGTCGATGGGAGTTTCTTTCTATGAATGTGTTTCTCTGATGGTACTCAATAATATGTATTTCTCACAATATTTTGTCGGGCAAGAATTAACCCCATAGGCCCCCTTTTTCGGAAATTCGAAAAAAATTCATAACTTTTTCAAAATACACGTGGATTGGAGTTTTTTTTTATGAATGTGTTTCTCTGATGGTACTCAATAATATGTATATCTCACAATATTTTGTCGGGCAAGAATTAACCCCATAGGCCCCCTTTTTCGGAAATTCGAAAAAAATTCATAACTTTTTCAAAATACACGTGGATGGAAGTTTTTTTCTATAAATGTGTTCCTCTGATGGTACTCAATGATATGTTTATCTCACAATATTTTGTCGAGCAAGAATCAACCCCATACGCCCCCTTTTTCGGAAATTCGAAAAACATTCATAACTTTTTCAAAATACACGTGGATGGGAGTTTTTTTCTATGAATGTGTTCCTCTGATGGTACTCAATAATATGTATATCTCACAATATTTTGTCGGGCAAGAATTAACCCCACAAGCCCCCTTTTTCGGAAATTCGAAAAAAATTCATAACTTTTTCAAAATACACGTGGATGGGAGTTTTTTCCTATGAATGTGTTTCTCTGATGGTACTCAATAATATGTATATCTCACAATATTTTGTCGGGCAAGAATTAACCCCATAGGCCCCCTTTTTCGGAAATTCGAAAAAAATTCATAATTTTTTCAAAATACACGTGGATAGGAGTTTTCTTCAATGAATGTGTTCTTCTGATGGTACTCAATAATATGTATATCTCACAATATTTTGTCGGGCAAAAATTAACCCCATAGGCCTCCTTTTTCGGAAATTCGAAAAAAATTCATAACTCTTTCAAAATACACGTGGATGGGAGTTTTCTTCAATGAATGTGTTCCTGTGATAGTACTCAATAATATGTATATCTCACAATATTTTGTCGGGCAATAATTAACCCCATAGGCCTCCTTTTTCGGAAATTCAAAAAAAATTCATGACTTTTTCAAAATACACGTGGATGGGAATTTTTTTCTATGAATGTGTTCCTCTGATGGTACTCAATAATATGTATATCTCACAATATTTTGTCGGACAAGAATCAACTCCATAGGCCCCCTTTTTCGGAAATTCGAAAAAAATTGATGACTTTTTCAAAATACACGTGGATGGGAGTTTTCTTCTATAAATGTGTTCCTCTGATGGTACTCAATAATATGTATATCTCACAATATTTTGTCGGGCAAGAATTAACTCCATAGGCCCCCTTTTTCGGGAATTCGAAAAAAATTCATAACTTTTCCAAAATACACGTGAATGGGAGTTTTTTTCTATGAATGTGTTCCTCTGATGGTACTCAATAATATCTATATCTCACAATATTTTGTCCATCCCATCCACGTGTATTTTGAAAAAGTTATGATTTTTTTCGAAATTCCGAAAAAATGGGCCTGTGGGGTTAATTCTTGCCCGACGAAATATTAAGAGATATACATATTATTGAGTACCTTCAGAGGAACACATTTATAGAAAAAAACTCCCATCCACGTGTATTTTGAAAAAGTTATGATTTTTTTCGAAATTCCGAAGAAGGGGGCCTGTGGGGTTAATTCTTGTCCGACAAAATATTGTGAGATATACATATTATTGAGTACCATCAGAGAAACACATTCATAGGAAAAAAACTCCCATCCACGTGTATTTTGAAAAAGTTATGAATTTTTTTCGAATTTCCGAAAATGGGGGCCTGTGGGGTAATTCTTGCCCGACAAAATATTGTGAGAAATACAAATTATTGAGTACCATCAGAGGAACACATTTTCAAAAGGAAACTTCCATCCACGTGTATTCTGAAAAAGTTATGAATTTTTTTCGAATTTCCAAAAAAGGGGGCCTATGGGGTTAATTCTTGCCCGACAAAATATTGTGAGATATACATATTATTAAGTACCATCAAAGGAACACATTCAAAGTAAAAAACTCCCATCCACGTGTATTTTGAAAAGTTATGAATTTTTTTCGAATTTCCAAAAAAGGGGGCCTATTGGGTTAATTCTTGCCCGACAAAATATTGTGGGATGAACATATTATTGAGTACCATCAGAGGAACAGATTCATAGAAGAAAACTCCCATTCACGTGTATTTTGAAAAAGTTATGAATTTTTTTAGAATTTCCGGTAAAGGGGGCCTATGGGGTTAATTGTTGCCCGACAAAATATTGTGAGATGAACATATCATTGAGTACCATCAGAGGAACACATTCGAAGAAAGAAACTTCTATCCACGTGTATTTTGAAAAGTTATGAATATTTTCGAATTTCCGAAAAAGAGGGCCTATGGGGCTTATTCTTGCCCTACAAAATATTGTGAGATATACATATTATTGAGTACTATCAGAGGAACACATTCATAGGAAAAAACTCCCATCCACGTGTATTTTGAAAAAGTTATGAATTTTTTTCGAATTTCCGAAAAAGGGGGCCTATGGGGTCAATTCTTGCCCGACAAAATATTGTGAGATAAACATATCATCGAGTACCATCAGAGGAACACATTCATCGAAAAAAACTCCTATCCATGTGTATTTTCAAAAAGTTATGATTTTTTTCGAAATTCCGAAAAAGGGGGCCTATGGGGTTAATTCTTGCCCGACAAAATATCGTGAGATATATATATCATCGAGTACCATCAGAGAAACACATTCATTGAAAAAAACTCCCATCCACGTGTATTTTGGAAAAGTTATGAATTTTTTTCGAATTTCCGAAAAAGGGGGCCTATGGGGTTGATTCTTGCCCGACAAAATATTGTGAGATAAACATATTATTGAGTACCATCAGAGGAACACATTCATAGCAAAAATCTCCTATCCATGTGTATTTTGAAAAAGTTATGAATTTTTTTCGAATTTCCGAAAAAGGGGGAATATGGGGTTAATTCTTGCACGACACAATATTGTGAGATATACATATTATTGAGTACCATCAGAGGAACACATTCATAGAAAAAATCTCCCATCCACGTGTATTTTGAAAAAGTTATGAATTTTTTTCGAATTTTCGAAAAAGGGGGCCTATGGGGTTGATTCTTGCCTGACAAAATATTGTGAGATATACATATTATTGAGTACCATCAGAGAAACACATTCATAGAAAGAAACTCCCATCTACGTGTATTTTGAAAAAGTTATGAATTTTTTTATAAATTCCGAAAAAGGGGGCCTGTGGGGTTAATTCTTGCCCGACAAAATATTGTGAGATATACAGATTATCATAGACCCTCAGAGAAAATCATTGATGTAAAATAGTTCCATCAATGGACATATTTTTGAGGTTTAAGTAATTTCATGGCCAGCCATGAATATAAATTGATAATGAACGACCATTGGTGGTATGGCGCGCGCCTTGAATATTAGGCGAAGTCGTGGCTGGAACCCGTGGCTGGTTTCACACTGATCCCATACCGACACAGTTATACCGTTCAGCTCCAATCACCCCTATCAACAGAAATTCCCTAGTTTTGATAGTATGTTTCAGAGACTCTTCAATTCACCTCTTTCAGTAAGTTCTTTCAATGATGAACTTAACCTAACAATACAAATAGCACATAATAACGGTTTTCCACTTAATTCAATAAACAAACTCTTTTATAAGCACCAATCAAAATTTTTTAACAGGAACCTTCAGCCATCAATCAAGAACTCCTAAAGGATATACAGATCTATGTCTTATTTTGGCCCACATTGTCTCAAATTTTCAAAAATCTTTGCACAACATAACATTTCATTATCTTTCAAGACCAATGATAGTTAAGGTTTCATTTCTGTAGATGATGAAGATGAAAACCCTGTAAATTCTGAGTCTGGCGTTAACAAGATCAAATGCTCTGATTGCAATGCAAAATACGTTGATCAGACAGGGAGAGCTTTGTCCACTAGGATAGAAGAACATAAAAAGACGATTGACAAATATAGTAACTCTGATATTATCAACACTACACCTTCTTTCGCATTACATATTCTTGAGAATAAACACAAACATAATATACTACAAGATTTTGAATTCCTTCATGTATATCCTGATGGCAAAAAGCTTAACCTTCTGGAAATTCAGGAAAACACTAGATCTTCCTATT